GGCGTGGACAGGTGTTAAAGTGATGACAGAACACAAACTCCTCCTGTTTTCACTAGTCATCATTTTGGTCTTGGGTTTTCCTGGTTAGTGGACACGCACCTGTGAAGTATAGCTAGGGAGAGGGCACAGGTGACAGGAGACATGTTGGGCAAGCTTTGGACTTTCGACCTCCTGTGCCAATCCCCCCCACCTCAAGACAAGGTGCAAACCAACAGCAGCTGAAGAATAGGTGTGCTTGGACCTTGTTCTGACCCTTTCCTTATCAAAGCCTGGAATAGAAATGATGGCCGCCCAACCGCTGCCAGGTCCTACCTCAAAGCAACCTCCTCCGGCACATGCCCGTTTCATTCTGTGCCTTCAGCATCCAGGGTTTTCCACTCTGCTGTGCATGCACGCTGCCGAATGACCTGACATGCTGCCCTATGGCGTAGACAGATACCCGCTGAAGGAGAGACAGCTGGGGCTGGCTGCTGGAATGCTACGTCATTTGAATGCAAACAAAAGCTGCTGTGACTGTGAGGAGGCAAAAGCGGGGAGACAACTGGTTCCAGCATCCCACCAGGGTTCCGGCTACTCCCTGCCGGAATACTGTTTCCATGGCTTTGAGATCTGAAGGTGTGGCTGGCCGTGTGGCTCAGGGATAAAAGCTGTGAGTGCCTCACACTACACTAGTATGAAAAACTAAACAAAACCCCATTAGGGCAGAGTTAGAACAAAGCCTGTGTGTGGAAGTGTCCTGAACCTCTTCATACCCGCACCAGCTAGATGAGACATATAATCCCAGCACTCTGAGCTGCTGGCAGGAGGATCAAGATCATCCTCACTACATCTGGCCAGCCTGGGTTACAGGAGACAGCCACCAAGGCCTGGAGACGTGACTCAGTGTTGCATTCACTCTTTTGTTATGGGGTGTGATATCTTCTTCTTGGCTTCTTCAGGCACCAGGTATGTACATGGTGAATATACATGCACCCAGGCAAACACTTACAGACATGAAAATGAATGTTAAAAAAAAAAAAAAACTCCATCCAAATCACACATTGTACCATCATACCAAACATGTTCTTCCGCATTTGCAGTGCAGCAGACAGACGAACCCAGGGCCTCATTCATGCTGGGCATCTGAACTTCACTCCCAGTTCCCCTCCCGAACATTTTTACTTTGAGACCAAGTCTCAGTATATAGTCCAGACCCAGCTGCCACTCAAAATCTTCCTGCCGTAGCATTCCTGATATCGGAAGCACACGCACACACACACACCCCACCACCACCACAACAACCACCACCACCACCAGGCCCAGTGTGATGGCTAGTTTTAAATGTCACCTTTGACAACCTAGAATTATCTAAGACAAGAGCCTCAGATGAAGAAGTGCCCAGGTTGGGCCTGTGGGCATATCCTCTTGTTTGCTGGGAAGTCCCAGTCCACTGTGGGCGGTGCCATTCCCTAGGCGGGAGATGCTACACTATACAAAAGAAGAAGAAGCTACACGAGAGTAGCAGGCAACTTGGGGGTGCCTTTGTTTCTCTCTGCTCTTGACTGTGGCTATGATGTGACTGACTGAGTTCCTGCCTTGATTTCTCCTCAGTGATGAGCTGTAACCTGGAACTGTAAACCACATAAACCCACTTCCCCTAAATTGCTTTTGGTCATCATTTTTTTTTAATTTTATTTTATCACAGCAATAGAAAAGAAACCAGGACACCCTGCTTCTCCCAAATTCTAAAAAAAAAAAAAAAAAAAAAAAAAAAGCAAGCTCCTGAACTCAGGAAGCAGAGGTAGACAGATTTCTGTGAACTTGAGGCCGGCCTCATCCTCATAGTGAATTTCTGGACAGCTAGGGCTCTGTAGAGAGACTCTGTCTTAAAAACAACAAAAACAAACCAACAAAAAAAGAGAGAAAAAAGAAAGCAAGGGTACAAGCACTGACAGTCGTCTGCTGTCCATTTCACTGTCTCCTCTCACTGTCCCTCCCATTTCCCTTATGCTCAACCTCGTTTTGCAATCCCTTCATTGCAAAGCACATACTGTTAGCACACACTGTCCCCTGGCTGGCGCTCCCCACCATCAGAGCACTCTAGCTTCCCCCTTCCCTGCTCACTCTCACCCCAGCTCCCCTACCCCTGCCAAGAGCCAGTAATAGCCCTGACTTGCTCAATGTGTTCACTTGACTAAATTCTGCGCTGTTTAGGTTTTCTTCTCTTTTCTTTTTTTCCATCAATGGGCTTGGGAAGAGAGAGATCTCAACAGAGAAAATGCCTGCATCTGATTGGCTTGTGCACACGTGGGTGGGGCACTTTCTTGAATAATGATGCTGTGGGCGGGCCCCGGCCGTCGTGGGAGGGCCCCGGCCGTCGTGGGCGGTGCCACCTTTGGGCAGGTGGTCCTGAGACGTACAAAGAAAGCAGGCCGTAGAGACAAGCCAGTCAACACTGTTCCTACCATCGCCGCTTCAGTTCCTGCTCTAGCTTTCCCCTTGACTTTCTGCCTCGGCTTCCCTCAAGGATGGACTGTGACCAGGGGCTGTGAGCTGAAACAAACCCTTTCCTTCTAGGCTGATTTTGGTTATAGCCTTTATCACACCAATAGGAAGAAAGTAGAGCATTCTGTTTCCCCAACCAGAGTCTGAGCCCCAAGTGACTAAGGCTATTTTTGTACCCATCATCTCTCCTCTCTGTTATAGCAAAAGGCTTAGAAAATAAAAACACAGACTCAAAGGAAAACCATACATAAACTCACATCCTAGAAAAAAACAGCTTCCAGATTTTAAATTTTCCTCCCCTCCTCTGTCTCCTCCACTTCTAATGTTTTGTTTTGTTTTGTTTTGTTTTAGATATGGCCTCACATAACCCAGGCTGTCTATCCAAGTATGATCTTCTGATAGCCTGCCTTACCTCCCACGTGCTGGAGGGATTATAGTCTGCCATCACACTGGGCAAGACTTAAAAAAACAAAAAGGATTTATTTTTTTTATGTATATGAGTGTTCTGTGTTCCTGCATATCTGCAGGACAGAAGAGGGCATAGATCCTATTATCGATGGTGTGAACCAGCATGTGGGTGCTGGGAACTGAACTCAGGACCTCTGGAAGAGCAGACAATGTTCTTAACCTCTGAGCCATCTCTCCAGCCCCACTGGGCATGACTCTTACTCTAAAACTGTATGCTGATAAAGTTTCTGTGTTGTTTTACTAACCGTTATTTTGGAATTGAGATCTGAGACCTAAATCTTCATCCCAGGATTGTTGGCAAAGTTATTTCCCCATTTAGAAGCAACTTAAGGGTTGGAGAGATGTCGCGGTAACCGTACAAGGGAGTCTACTTCCAGAGGATCCGTCACCCTCTTCCGGGCTTAGTGGGAACCGGGTAACCACACGGTGCACACACACACATGAACGATGAAATGAAATAAAGGAACGTTTTAAAACATTCTGAAAGCATCTTAATCTGAAAGGGCTGAGACGGGGCTGGAGAGATGGCTCAGCAGTTGAGAGCGCTCGCTGCTCTTCCAGGGGACCCCGGTTCAATTCCCTGCACCCACGTGGCAGCTCACAACTGCCTGCAACTCACACCCTCACGCAGACACACATGCAGGCAAAACCCAACGCGCATGAAATAAAAATGAATCCTGAAGAGGAGGGTATCAAAGAAGGTCCCACTAGAGTCCGGCCCCCAGGTACTGCTTGGCTGACTCCACAGACCCAGGACAGCCTCTTCAGGGGACACTGACAACATAGAATAGCCTCCAAGCGTGCCCTGAAGGTGGCCGCGGGACGAGGGCCCTGATTCCCGTGGGCAGGACCGGTCGGGATGAGGCCGACCAGACAGAGGCGCCGGCTCGCTCTCGGGTTCCCAGGGTCCCGTGAAGCTGCGTCCCCATTCCAAACCCCTCCCTGGCTCAGCTCAGCCGCGCACGCGCCCCTTGGGACTGAGGATGAGCGTTGGTCACGCTGGGCTGCGACTGCGTGGGAACCAGATGCCACCGGTTGGATAATTCTCTCAGGGTCTGACCGCAGACCTGCACTATTGGGGGAAGTCTGGGCAGGCATTGAACCCTTAGCTTTCAGGTCCTATCCTACCGCAGAGCAGGCAGAGAGAAGGGAACCAGCTGGCGGCCAGGAAGCCCGTCTCTGGTCTCTGCATGCCTAAGACTGCAAACTGGGCTTTTCGGTTCTGTACCGCCCCCCTCAACCCCGAGTAAGTGACACCGCCAGCCACCCTCAATATACGTGCTTTTTCTTTGGAGGCCCCCAACCCTTCGGAAACTATGAAAAGCTCTGATTCTGTCACGCCTTAGCTGGAGACCCTTGTGTCGGAGCTGAGGAGGTTTTCCGGAGGGAGATGCTCCTACTGTCCGCTGCCATCTGAGCGGACCTGCGTTTCTGGACTCCAAGTGGGCTGAAGGGTGAAGGCGACGAGGAAAGATGTTGGCTAACTGGACGTGAATCACAGCAAATAGATCACAGGAGCATGTCTAACAAGGACGAAAATCTGCGGGCCTGGTGGGACTTTGCTCTGGGTTTTGACCACTTGGCCTGGTCAGCCCCGTAGCAGCTGGACACGTGCTGAGCGCAGGAGCCCGCAGTGGCCAGGCTGTGGGCAGATTGCTGGACCCAGACTCACTCCAGCGACCTATCCTGCCCTGCAAAGAGACTCTACAAGGTATTTACTGCTTTCCCGGTACTGAAAGGTGTGTCTCTCCGGACCACTCAGGGTTCCCTAAAAAGACAAAATAATTTTTCCCCCCTCTAAAAGTGATATTTGAGGCTAGGGCGTAGCTCAAGTTATGCTGAACGGGGGTACAGCATAAGCACCCACGTTCAGTTTCCATTATAACAGGAGCAGTAATGATAATAATAGCCTCAGCATGGTTGGTTGGGCGAGAACCGACTCTCCGCTAGGCTTGGCTGTAGACCTCTCGGTGGGGACCACTCTCCTAAGCCTTAGCAGCCCATCTGTTGCCTCATTAGCTAATGTGGTATGGGGCCAGCGACAGCTGTTGGCCTCCGTGTGTTCCAGACAAAAATTAACTTTCCAGTCACTCTTCCACAACGTGACTGGTGGAGACTTGGGCGCTGGTGAAACGCTGGGGACTGTTTCCTCTGGGTACCACGCTGAGCCTGCAATTTCAGGGGACCCGCTGGCTTAGCCAGACTCTAGATGTTTAACTTAAAAGCAGAAGTGAAAGAAAGGGCAATTTTCCGGTGCTTGAAAGGGTTATTCTGATTTAAACTGGCAATAAAAGTGCAATTGGCTGGGAGTTGGCACGGCCAAAGTACACCCTAAATGTCTTCCCTCTCCACACAGCACAGCTGGCACTTTGAGGAGGAGGAGAGCCACAGGCAGAGCAACGATGGATGAAAAGAATCGAGAGAAGAAGGGGGTAAGTGTGCGACTGAGCACAGCGAGCGCTGGGGGCCTGCTCAGCTTTCCTTGGGACTCCCCAGGGCCGCCCTCAGCTGGGCGTTCCGTCTGGAAGAGCGAGGTTTGCTCACAAGCCCAAAGGACAGCCGCACTTTTATAGGAGTCAGTGTGGTTTTTATAGACAGATGCCCGTTAGGAGTCATGCCACTGGAACAGCTGTTGAGGAAGGGCCTGTAGCCGGGCTGGGGGCTACACCTCAGCTTGTGGAATGCTTTCCTGGGATGTATGAAGTCCGGGTGAGCCAGGAGTGGTGACGCATGTCTGTGTCTTAACAAGTGGGAGGCAGAGGTAGGAGTAAAGGCGTGTGAGGCTAACCTCAGCTATGAAGGGAATTCAAAGATAGTTCTGTTCCTAACCCACAGTGGAACTGGAGGTTACTCGTAGCTTTCCTTGGTTGAGAAAAACTCCAAGAAGTTAACACGGCAATAAACACTTTCAAGGAATCTTCATTTTAATCCCTCCGGTAGCATTTGCTCATAAATGGATAGGGAGAAGCATGCATTCATGCAAAATATTATTTACTGAGGTCCATAAGACACAGGCTGGAAGCATGGCCCGAGACAGGTATCGTGGGAGCTGGTTTGGGAGGGAAGAGCAGCTATCATTGGTGCCAGCTCCTTCCCAATTTAGCTGTGGCTAAGGCTTTTTCATTCTGACTCATTCATGTGCAACTGAGGCAGGCCTCAAATTCCTGATCCTCCTGCCTCTACCTCCCGTGTGCTAGAATTACAGGCGTGTGCCATTGCACCTAGATGTTTAACTCTTTCAGTGCCTTCTCATCTATCAGATGGACTGAGAGCCACTCCCTCTTCTGGTTGCCAGAACAGTTAGACAGTGCACCAGAAGCGTCTGGCCAGGGGTGAATCCTCCTGGCAACATTGCCGCTTGGTTTGTCCTATGGAGCAGACTGACCTCGCTATTGACACTGGATATCTCTGGGGTGATCAGGAACATCTGAGCCTCTACTCACTTTATTTCTGGTACAACAAACAAATGTCCCCTATGAAGCAAAATCTGTTCCCCCCCCCCAGAGGACTTCACTTGGATTATCTTGTTTTGTTTGTTCTGGTTCTGTTGCTTGCTATTTTCCATTGCTAGGGACCGAACCCAGGGCCTCATGCATGCTGGACAACTGCTCTACCACTGAACTATACTCCCCAGCCATTTTCTCCTTCTCAGTTTAAAACAGGGCTCTTTAAATTGGCCAAACTGGCCTTGAGTTCATGATCCACCTCCCTCTGCCACCCCGGGTGCTGAGATAACAGAGCTGCATTACCGCCCAGCCTGTCCGAGACTGCTCTCCCTGAGGAAGTACTTGACAGGACAAGTGCTGTCACCTGTGTTAGACAGGAAGGCGCCTGGGGCCAAGGACTTGAATGCTCAGGGTCACAAGAGACCCTGTGCCCGCTGCTCAAAAAGTAACAGGAATGGGGATGTCCCCCACATGCTGTGGTCTGCAGATGAGCCCTTTGGAGGAAACAACCCAGACGGCCACTAGCCCAGGGCATGGGTTGGTTGACCTCGGCTGCCTGCCCCTCAGCTGTCCAGGCGTGAAGCCAGGCGTGCAGCCTGGGGAGTTAGGAGATGCCAGGGAGGCATAGGGCTTCGAGGTCTTCTGGAAAGATTCTGGACAGCAGTTGGGCCCAACTTTCCCTCAGTAGCTGTGCAGCTCAGGTCTCAAAACTGCTTAAGGATTGTTGGATGAAATTTTCTTTTTCCTACAGAGTAGTGTTTTAGGCAAGGAAAACATGTTTTGTGGGGTGTCTCAGCCACAGCTACCTTAGTGCCCTGGAGTGAATCACCTTCACTCTGTCCTCCCTAGGTCCTCACTGTTGTTCTGTATTAACTGACTAATTAACTGGACACTCACTATAGATCAGGCCAGGAGGCCTCCTTCCCTGGATCCTTGACTCACACCCAACACGGGGTCAGCCTCGGTCATGGGTATTTTTACTGAAGCCTCAAGATATTTCCCTAGTAATTTGGGAAGAGTGGGGTGCTTCGGATGGGATCCAGGGCCTTGTCCATGCTCAGCAAGTGTTCTGTCACTGAGCTGTGTCCAACCCCCATATTTTGTTCCTCCCGATCCTTGAAAGAAAGGGGTGAAGGATGAGAAAGAAAGCTGACGTGAGACTATAACTCGGGTGTCACATGAGAGGGCTCTCAGAAAATGAAGGCTGTCCTGTTGCTTTGCAGCAGGGGCGATTTGTGGAGGAGTGAGGCCCAGAAGGGCACGAGCTGCAGCCTCAGACTCGGCTGCAGCCCACTAGCGCGGTTGCCAGGAGCCTGGGGAAGAGGGTAAGGGGTGATGCTGGTGAGGAGTGCAAAGTTTCTGTTATGTGGGGCAAGCAAGCCTGGAACTGCAGGTCAAGGCCTGGTGACGGCAGTTAATGGCACAGCGATGTGCAGCATCTGTCCATGTTGACTGTCACTAACCCTGATTCAGGACACACGCGCGCGCGCACACACATGCACACACACGCATGCACACACTCTCTCACACACACAAAGATAACTACGTGTGGTGGTGAATGTATCGAGGAGCTAAATTGTGCTGGTCATTTTACAAAGTGTACACACACACACACACACACACACACACACACACACGTATATATGCGTATGTTAAAACACCGTAAAGAAAAGCCAGGCCCTGCCTGCTGCTTGGAAGCCTGGGACACTAGGAATGCAAGCTCAGTGGAAGCCCGGGCTACAGAGAATTCAAGACCAGCCTGAAGTCCCCACCTCACAATAAAGCACAAAGTGGGGGTGTTAACTTGTAAATCTTCCTCCCACTTCTATTTCTGACCAAGAACAGAAGCCCTTTTCACGGCTGCATCGTGGTGCTCAGTCTTGGTAGCCCTATAGTTCCAAAAGGGAAAAGGACCCAGCTTGGGGGCAAAATGGTCAGTTTTGGCACCACAGGTGGGATGTGGCCTCATGAGCTACACTCCTCATCAGAGAATAAAAAAGCTGCCGAAGGGCTGAAGAGATGGCTCAGCGTGGAGGGCTGGCTGCCCTTCCAGAGGGCCAAATTGAATTCCCAGCACCTACACGGGGCAGCTTACAGCTGTCTGTAACTCCAGTCCCAGGGGACACCTCTGGCCTCTTTGGGCACTCACGTTTATATGCTCATGACCACATACAGACTCACACACACATCATCATCATCATCATCATCATCATCATCATCATCATCAACCTATCTTTTAAAGCTGCCAGTGAACTCGGAAGGACTGCTCACAGGGTTGATCCAGTGGCTGCTTCCCTTGGGTAGTGGTATCCGCTGTGTGCCCTGATCTAAGAAGGCAGGGACTGTTGGGGACGTGCCTCAGAGAAACTGAGGGCCGCCTCTGCTGTGGTGGTCTCCAGCCCATCCAGCTCACTTCTTGGAGGCGGAGAGAGAGAGGTGAAGGCCTCAAACTCTCTAAGAACTTTCTCAGCACCAAAACCTGTTCTTGGGTGTGGTGGCTCACACCTTTAACGCCACTGCAGAGGCAGAGACAGGCAGACTTCTGTGAGTTCGAGGCCAGCCTGTTCTACAGTTGTGAGCAGGACGGCCAAAACTATGCAGAGAGACTCCGTCTCAAGAAGAAAGAGGTGGGGGGAGGGAAGGAGGGAAGGAAGGAAGGAAGAAGGAAGGAAGGAAGGAAGGA